TACCATTGAATGCTAGCAAATTCAACCGAGCCACACCAGCATCAGATTTAGTCACCGGATTAGTGCCAACATCAGACACCTACAACAAAGCAGACATTGATGATATGGTGAATGGAATCTACAGAGCCCACGAGATGTCTTCAGAAGATTACTGCAAGAGGCTTGATGATGTCTATTATCCCATAGATAAGAGAATCACCCACTTGACCACATGTATGGAGGAGATGAAGCAAGAGCTTGAACCCATTCAGAAGTAACTTGCGATTGAAGCAGAGACACGGCAATCGATCGATACCAATTATCCACCATCGATCGATACTCAGCGCGACAAAACAAAATTCGTTTCTAAGAAGTTTCTGCAAGATCAGCTTGACAACATTGAGTTTGAACTCGACTTGAAGAAGGAGGATATCAACAACTAATTTGAGGATACAACGGAGAAATTCAATACCCGAATTCGAATGCAGCGCACTTGTATCCAACATCTTCAGAGGAGAACAAGTGCAATAGAGACTGAAATTGAAAGGCTAAAAGGTTCTATGGCCAGAATTGAGATAGATATCAGCAGTTTCATAGGTGCATGGGCCCGTATGACAATGGACGAAGTGGATGCTTGTTTTACCAACAAGTAGTGTGCCACCACTTCTATAGTATACAACCTCAAAAACGTCAAGGTAAAGACTATAAATAAGTGCTGAGTGGGAGACAATCCACTGTAGTAAGTTTTTATTTGGTTTTTATTAATATTAAGTTTTAATTTCGGTTTTATTTTATATTTATGAAGGTTTTTATGATATATGATGACAGTTCGAGCCGGCCATCAGTCGATTTCACCAGTCAACCATCGGTCGACGACTTGGATGGTTTTACCATCGGTCGACCTTCACCACCTATCATCGATCGACATCCACCTACCGCAATCGATCGATCACCGTTACAGAGTTTGGTATTCTTGAACCTTTTTCGTTCTTTTACTTTATTATTTAATTATCCTAACTAAAGCAGGACGAGATACGCTAGGGACAAAGTTTTTTAAGTCTGAGGAGGTTCGCTGATGCTTATTTGTTGTTTTTGAGTTTTTCTACTATATCTATATACTATACTGATATTATCTACAAGTTTTTCAAAAAAAAATTCATAAAAAGGTAAGAAAGAGATTATGATCAGAATTTCTATTTGACTAACCAAACTATAAGCATGATTCTTAGGATTGTTGTTTTCAGAGTTTACTAAAGATACCAAAGTGGATCTTCCTACCTTTAGACCACACTTGCTTAGAAAGTTTGAAGAAACCAAAGCTGACTTCCAATCCTAATTTGACTAATCCGCTTGTCTTGGGGTTTGGTATACACTGGATAAAAATCCTTCTGCCAGTCTGGAAGGTATGAAAGTCTGTGTGTTTCTGGTTCCCTTCTCTCAATCTCTCTTTGGTATCTATTAGGAATATAAAAGATTGGGATGATTTCCTGACATTATCGATGACCCCACTATTAAAACTCAAAGGAATGATCACATATTGTGGAAGCGAGGGGTAGGTACATTACCGATGACCCCACTATTAGCCTCCACCTTGTCAAAAAAAATCGAAAATCAATATAGGTGAACAAGATGGAAGGCATTAGTACATGTCTTAGTTCACTGGCATTGAATTAGAAAAGATTAAGAGAAGAGAGAAAGAGGGAAGAAAAAGATCAGAGAATATTTTTTTCCTGTGTAGTTGAGTCCAATTATCCTTTGATCGATACTCCGAATGTAAAGCCTACACATATATTTTATCTAAGAAATGAAGTTAGTAAAGGGGTGAGTCAAGTTAATATTTGATAAGTTGTTGGTAGATTGGATTTGGTTGCTATAATAGGATAAGGTATGAAGTACTCTGGAATTAACATAATGAGATATGAGTGTGGCTTAGGAGGTTTAGACATCTTTTATAGGATGTCTTATTTTGCTTGAGGACAAGCAAAATGTTAAGTCTGGAGGAGTTGATATACCATATTATTTATGATTTTTAGACCATTATATGGACCCCATTTGAAAAGTATTTTGTGTGTGTAGGCTATATATTATATTGTTTTCATGTTTAGGTTTATTTTGGATTTATGTTGAGTTTTTGGAGATTTTTGGATGAAGAATTCATAGCAGACAAGAATCAGCTATGTTAGAGTCGATACCACGAGATCACTATCGACCGATATTGCTTCCTTAGCATCGATCGATAGTTAAGGCGAGAAGAGATCCGACTTTCCTCAGAATCAGACTTGGAGCCCAAGACCAGCATAATTACAAGATTAACCATGGCGAGTTTTTACCTAATTAGATAATGGTTTCTGCCACCCTTAGGCAGATAACCGCGCTTTTTACTTAGATATTGTTTCATTGTTTTTGGGGAGAAGATCTAGCAAGACTTTTCCCATTGCTTTGTATTGGAACCCAGTTTTATATCTATGTATTCTTTTCAGACTATGAATATGTTCTGCATGATTATGTCTAAGTAGTTCCGTTTCTTAGGTTTAGATTTTGATATGGTTCAGTTAATTAGCCCCAAATAGGTTGCTAAAAGAATTAATACCCATTGATTGGAAGTATACTTAATGAAAGCTCTAGTGTAGCAAACTAGAACTTGATCTTAGGGCTTAAGATACTGTGAGAGTAGTTCTAAACCGGATACATTCTAATTAAGTTAGGTTAGGTTTGATAGAAAGAAGCGAGAGCTGATCAATCTTACCTGATGGTAATCAGCTCGCCACAACCATCGATCGATGTTGATACTAGACCATCGATCGATAGTTATAATTAGTGGGCGGTTGTTACTTACTGTATTAAGGTCGACTAATAAACAACTTGTCAATTATAATTCAGGTTCCAAAACCCTAGATCTAGCTATTTTTTACTTATTTGAGTTGAGTTAACTCTAAAAGATTTCCTTTTAACTTCATCATGATAACTAGTATAAATACTTCACCTAGCTTAACCATAAGATTACTAAATCCATTGTGTACTTTTCTCTCGTTGGATTGGATCCCTAAATAGTGCAATTTGATCTCTCTTGGCAAGAGTAGGTTTTTAGTTGAGTTTCATAGGGTACCTTGATAGAGTAGAATAAGAGTTTTTAAAACACTGAAACGCAGCCCTGTCACCATTCATTGTTTGTTCAAATCTCTTATTCGCTCTTTCTCGCTGATATGGTTTCTGTTGATGATATTCTTATTGTGGGAGATGATAAAGAAGTTATTGAGTCCTTCAAGACAACTCTTAAAAAAGCTTTCAAGCTTCAGTACCTTGGTGATGCAAAATATTTTCTTGGTTTTGAAATTACAAGAAATGAAATGGTATATTCGTTAATCAACGAAAATATACTTTGGATTTGCTTCAAGATGAAGGTTACCTTGGTTGTAAACCGGTGTATGGTCTCATGGAACCTAATTTGAAGCTCTTTGATACCTCTGGTGATTTGCTGCATGATCCTTTCGTGTTCAAGAAGATAGTGGGGAAGTTGCTTTATCTTACACATATGAGACCAGACAGCACATATGCAGTTCAAAATTGAGCCAGTTTATGTCTGCCCCTCGTCTAGACCATCTTAACGCAGCTCAATGAGTCCTCAGATACTTGAAGAATGATCCTGCTCAAGGTCTATTCCATCCAGCCTCTTCTTCAGTCAGTCTAACGGCGTTTTGTGATGCAGATTGGGTGTCTTTCCCTGACTCACGACACTCTATTACTGGTTATTTTGTGTTTTTGGGACAGACGCTGATCTCTTGGAGGGAAAAGAAGCAAGCAACAGTGTCTCGCAGTAGCTCAGAAGCAGAGTACCGCTCCATGGCTGACACAACATGTGAATTGATTTGGTTAGCTTCTTTACTCCATGATTTTCATTGTTCTCTTACTGGTCCAGCAACTTCATTCTGTGACAATCAATCAGCTCTACCCATTACCTCAAATCCGGTCTTTATGAGCGAACAAAATATATAGAAATTGATTGTAATATGGTTAGAGAAAGTCCTCGAAGTGGATTCTTGAAGAAAATGCATGTGAAATCTACACATCAACTTACAGATGTTTTCACGACGGCTGTTGAATCAGCTCTGATTCACCAGTTGGTACTCTAGATGGTTCTTCACCATTTGTTCATTCCATCTTGAGGGGAGGGTATTAGAATTAGTTATATAAACTGGTCCAATGTATTTTCTGATGGTTTAATCTGGTTTAGTTTTCTTTAGCTTAAACCAGATGTATATATTCATACATTCTTGTACATATATACTTGAGATGAATAATACATTTTTCATCTTCTAACTGACATCTTCATCATTTTCACTCTCTTTCACTTCATTTCTCACATTTCATCTAATAAACTCGAGTTTATATATATGTTTTGACGTTAAAACTTTGTTATTTGCTATAAAGACCAGTAAAGATCCTGATACCAAGCGTTGGAAACTCAAGCTTTCGACCAAACTTAAAATATATAATTAATTGCTCTTAAGTTGACCATAGTTCTTTACAATAATGGTAAGATTATGATTAACCCGAGGTTTTTAGAGTGGAATTCTTAGCGGAAGTTAAAAAATTGTTTCTTAACTTTTAACTAAAAAAACTAAGAAATAGTTTTTAAAATTCTTATTTAAGACCCAGTTCTTAAAGTCCTTATAACCGTTTCTTAATCTTTTTAGTTAAAAGTTAAGAAATAGTTTCTTAATTTCATGCTAAGAACCCCGGGTTTATCATACTCTAAAGACATCGGGTTTGTGACCATAGTTCCTGTTGAGATTCCGGCCTTCATGTATATATTACACTAATAGGAGATTATTTTTGGAATAGTATGCATGAAAATCCATAAACAAAAATCAATGGAAATTCATACAAAATATTTGATAAAATATGAGAACGTAGCTCTTACAGAAACAAAAGTGGGATTTTGAGAGGATAGGAAAACTGAATATTCTTATTAAATCTCGCGAACGTCGCTCTTACAGAAACAAAAGTCGCATTTTGATTGGATTCATCAAACAGATACAATCAAATTCTCTGAAACGAAAGCGTTGAAATTATTATTATTATTATTATTATTATTATTATTATTATTATTATTATTATTGATGTTGTTTAGGACAATCCTAAACATTTAAGGTGGAGTCTGTCTTTGAAAAGGCAATGATCTCGACTTCAACCTTAAGCGCATCGTCCACCACTAAACCTCTAGATTGATCTTTAAGATCTGCAAGTGGTACAAACTTTTCGAAACCCCATCCACTATTTTCTGCTGCATTAGGCCATCCCTCCACTGTCCATAAGAAGAGAGAGGAATGAATAAGAATATTTAAATGACAGAGAAAAACAATTAAGGGACTTAAATATATAGTGTGAAACACTGACCAAGCTTCTCCACATGGTTTGATTTAATTTGGTCAAGAACTCGTAGCTTGGCTCGGACGTAAGGCTTTTCATTGGACTCACTCAACAAGTAGAGTGACAGTGAATTTTCTTTTCCATAGCCATCTCCATTTGGGTACACCTTTAATACCCTATTATTTCATTAACATTGTCTATCAGCAACACATGTAGATATAAAGATTAACTATACATTGTATATATATATATATTATATATTAGATAGAGTGGGTGAGAGAGAGAGAGAGAGGATTGACCAGTTTCTTCCTCCTGAAGTAAAGCTGCTGGATGTGTAAGAATCACTAAAGCGGGTTGAGAAGTGGGTTAGCTTCCATGTGAAAATGGGCTCGCTTACGTGTTCGTCAAAAGAGAAAACTTCCCATTTCTTGAAGGGTTGAGCAACGAAGACGTCAACTCCAAAGACACACTGGTCTCCATCAAAAACGTAACCGTTAACAGGGTTGGCGAAGTATGATGTACCTTGGATGGAAGGTATTCCCCATTCCGGTTTGAACAAATGGAACTTTGCCGCCTCAAGCTCTACAACAATGATTTGTGTCGTCTTTAAATATATTAAGGACCCAAAATATAAACTTACTAACCATTAATTTTTGTTTTTTTTTAGTTCATAATAATTCTGCGTAGGTTGATGATTCATCTGTTACCATAACGTAGCATTAATCTCGAACTCGAGATTGATCATTTAACACCGCTCTAACCTGTTTGGTAAGATAATATTTTTAGAGACCAATCTAACTTTATTTACGATAACAGTACCATAGTAATAGTTGTACTTGTCTTGCTTTCTGTTGTAGATGAAGAACTTGATCTCTGCATACACATCTTGTGGATTGGTAATAAGAGTTGAATTATCGATTCTTACGTAAAGAGAAATAAATCCCTTCGCGCCCACTCTTTTGTCGCCGTTGGGGTATATTTCATACGTCCTTTCAGTTTAAGAAAAAAAGGCATATATAGGAAGACGTTATTTGTTGTGTTGTGATTAGACAAGAACTACAAAAACCAGGTTAATTTTGATACATACCAGTTGTATCCACCGGCGGAGAAAGGACGGGACACGTATTTTCCATCTTTCACCAGGTTCAACAAGGTTTGAAAAGACTCAAACTTAATGCAGTAAGTACTTGGAGGACGCTCTCTTCCGCTGGATGCTTCGAGCTTCCCTTGTTGTTTTCTCTTAGGAAGACCCGACCTCCGAGAGTTACACGGGGAGACTGAGTCCATCACGAAATGGCTTCCTTCTACGACTGCTTCTGCTATTGCTTCTGTTACTATCACCTCTCTCTTCGTTAAGAAGTTTTGTTTGAGGTCGTAGTTGGGATTTACGAATCTTACAACTTCAGCAACTGCAACGAATACGAAACAGAAGAAGCAGAACACGAAGATTGATCCATAGCCTATGTTTCTCTTCTTTTCCTCTGCAACCATATTTTTTTCTCTTTTTCTGTTTGGTGAGTTTTATAAGGTTTGAGTTGTTATATAGACGCAAATAATTAACCCTAACCACTTGTTTATGTTCAAGGGCGAGAAATGGAGGAGGGGTGGGAGGAACAGATTCCCTTAAAATTTATTGCTGTAGTAGTTTATAACTAAAATATATTTAATACTCTTAGAATTTATATAAATCAAATTACAGTGTGGTGTTTATAGATCTTTTATATATAATTTAGGGAGTTTAAGAGTACATTACTCTATGGACCACATTTTATCTTTTTCTTTCATTCTAGAGCACTTCCCATTTGGGAGACACATTCTCATAAAACAAGAAAAATTTTAGACTTTTTTACTTTTGTTCAAAAGGGAACTAGTTTTCGGTTTGGAATAGATAAGTTATAACTTTGGTTTGAGTATAGTTAGTAGCTTTTGTTATTTTATATTTTATTATTTTTGTTTCTCTTATTTCACCTTATGTTTTTATTTGCTTTTATTTCAAATTATAAGATATATAAACTAAAAATAATTGTCACAATAAATCATATATGAAATTCTCTATTTTTTAACATATATTTTCATATATATATATATGAAAATATATATGTGCAAAAAATAGTGTGGCCATGAAAAAAAAAATGTAGACATAGAGATGTGGATACTACACAAGCCATCCACAAATATGTGCCAAAAATGACACAGACGATTTGAATTTACAGTGGATGACTATTTGTAAAAGACTAAAACTGTCTCTGCCCACAGCCATTCACTATGTGGATGAATGTTTGTGGACAAAAAATGAGTAATAGGAGAAGACAGATGTTTGTGTGACTATGCATACAAGGTTTTGTGGATTTGTTCCAAGCTTCTTGTACGTTATGTCGGGACTTGCAGCTTCCAAAAAGTTGTCAGTGTTCTCTAGATCTAGATTTGGTATATCTACACAAACACAGTCTAAAACTGGATTAATATCTTTTAAACCAATAACATTTACACTTTAATCAGATTTCGAGAATTCAAGTAATTTCAAAAAAATATACAGAGACCTGCAAAGGACCAGCACTCCTTGTTCTTGTCTTAAGAGTTTGTGAGAAGTTTAAATTTTGAAGTTGTGGTGTTTCTAGGAGTCTGCAAATCCATAAATAAAATAAGCTTCATCAACAATAAATACAAAAGCTTGTGTGGAAACACATAACTGAGAACAAGAAACGAACTTAATATTAAAAGGATTTATAGTCTCCAAGCAAAAAAACAGGAGGCTGGTGAAAGTACATTTCTGTCCAAATCACTAATTATACTTCAAGGGTGAAACACATAACAACAACACCAACGATCACTACAAAAGAATACGACTTTAACGAGGAAGAATTACGAGGAAACATTTTCCTCGTAATTTTACGAGTATATTATAACTACTTTACGAAGAATTTCATATTTGTCATTAAGTCCTTATAAAATTACAAGAAAACAGATTCGTCGTAAGTTACATGTTAATTTACGACGAAAGTACTAGGAACTAGAAGCTTCATCGTAAATCCCAAGTTAAATTACATGGCATTTACGACGAAACATTTTACTGTTATATTAAAAAAAAGTGTATTCATTTTGTTTAACCTAACTAATTTCCTTGTAAAAACGTTTTAAAGCAAAATGGAGTTGTAAAATCCTAATAAAACTTATCTTTGAAAATTCATTATTACATCTTTACCATAGGCAGGCTGCAAGGACAGGGGCAAGGGAGTCGACCTTTAGCAAGCAAGTGAGTTACAAACTCTTTATATCCTATGTCATTCCTCAATGCTAACAACATACAAAGAAATACAAGGGAAAAAGAATCAAAAAAAAAATTTTACGGCGACTTATGTATTGATTTTTTAAGAGACTGAAAGGCGTGCACAGTCCCCAGAACAGTTCTTATTAACTGTGCATAGTTTTTCCTTGACAAGTCGATGAATAGCTATGTGGAGTTGATAAAACTGTTCCAATGACCGTGCACTCTCTTTAATTTTTCTGGAAGAAATCCAATAAATATTTTTTAATACTTATCCATGTAATGTCGTTGTAAATTTACAACTGCATTATGACGAAACATGTTAGGTGAAAACTATTTTAAATGTGTCTTTCACCTAACTTAATTTGTTGTAAATACGTTATAACCAAGAAGTTAGGGACATGTAAACTCATAGTAAATCCTTTCCTTATAAATAGTTAGTAAAACTTTCGCCTACCAAACACGATTTTGTTTCTATATATACGAGCATTCTCATTCTATACCAACACACAAACAGAAAAAAGGAAAAAAAAAACTTAAAAAAAATGTCTGGTGAAAAAAATATTTTTGAATTGCGGAGTTGGATGTATACGCCGAAAGATTCCGACGGTAGAGTGAAGAATACATTTCTTGGCGGGCTAGAGACATTCATGTACCAGACAGGCTGTACACTACTCACACATGAAAGCAGTAAGATGTTATGTCATTTTTGGAAGTGCAAGAATTCAAAATTTTCCCTTACTGAAATGATATGGAAACATTTAGTACACATAGGTCTTACACCATAATACTATATTTGGTTTCAACATGGAGAGGATTATGCAGGAAATGACGCTAGTAGTAGTAATAGTAATTTTCAGAATGCTGGTAATAATGAAGAACCAAATCATTTGCATAACGAATATAATTAGACTGAACATTAGGTAAATCACGATAGGGTTCACGACATGATTACTGATGCATTTTTAGAAACTACTACAACAATAGCTGATGGAAATGGAAATGTTGAAGAACCTAATTTGGATACAAAAAGGTTGTATGAAATGCTAGATGCTGCAAATTAATCAATCTACACTGGTTGTAGAAAAGGTCACTCTAAATTGTCTCTAGCAGCGCTAGGATGATGAATATTAAAACGGATCATAATTTACTTGAGAATTGCATGGATGCATGGGCCGAGTTGTTTAAAAAGTATTTGCAAGAAGACAACGTGTCAGCTGAATCTTATGAGATTTAGAAATTGGTTTATAGTCTTTAGTTGCCATCGAAGATGATAGATGTTTTCATCGACAACTGCATGATGTACTAGAGAGATGATGAGAAGCTAGAAGAGTGTCGATTCTGCAAGAAGCCACGATTCAAACCGCAAGGACATGGGATGAATAGGGTACCATACCAATGGATGTGGTACTTACCAATTACAAACATGCTGAAAATATTATATCAATCTAAGAGGACTGCCGGAGCGGTGAGGTGGCATGCTGAACATGTCCAGCGGGATGGCGAGATTTCTCTCTTCAATCTATGGTTTGAAGCAATCAATGAGAGCCTTGTATCACAAGCTGAGCACTACACTAAATGGAAGAGGTTTTGTAAAGTCTCAAGCTGATCACACTCTCTTCACACTGACCAGCAAACAAGATTTAGTAGAGATTAAGTACTTCCTATGGGTTCAAATTTGTCGCTCTAAGGAGGGAATTTTCTTATCCCAAAGGAAGTACACACTTGAAATTCTAAATGAGGCAGGAAACCTTGGAAGTAGACAAGCCTAGACACCATTGGAAGAAGGCTACAAGGTGCTTTGAGAGGGGAAGTTTGATACTAGTCCCTTTGAAGATGTCAAGAAGTATATGAGGATGGTTGGGAAGCTTATATACTTGGCCATAACTCGGCCTGATGTGTGTTTTGTCGTGAATCAAGTCAGCCAACACATGCAAGCTCCCAAGATTCATCATTGGAACATGGTGGAAAGAATTATGATTTACTTAAGAGAAGCTCATGGCCAAGGTGTGTGGATGGCTTGCAATGGAAGCATTGAGGTAGAAGGATATTGTGATGATGATTGGGTAGGAGATAACTTATACCCTCTTTATGAAGTGTTCTACTCTCTCCTTGCTTGGTTTTTATCCCAATGGGTTTTGCTAAGTAAGGTTTTAATGAGGGAATGTTTCATGGTATTCGAAGCTTGACATAGTCAGAGGGTATTCGGATAGTGAAGGTTTACTTTGTCAAGAATACTTGTGACACAAGCTCCGTACAACTTGGGTTGCAATGAACCTATCTATGGCAAGAGAATTCTTGGGACACTAGGAGGATCAAGTTTAAACTTAACTAGAGGGTCTAAAATAAAGAATGGAACCGTTGGCAAGTAAGGCCAAGAGGCTCATGTCGGCAGGGATTTAAATAACGTAGAAGTCACATTTTTCCCTTAGGCTTGGAGTCGCTAAGACATGTCTCGTTCAGCCTCCACTACTGCGAGAAGACCACCTTTAGTTTAATATAATCCTTCTTTTCCTGATTATCCTTTTGTGTCTATAAACAATGTATCTTGTATGCTAAATTAACCAAGGAAATCCTTTCCTCAATATTCTCTCTCTCTCTCTCTCTCTCTCTCTCTCTCTCTCTCTCTCTCTCTCTCTCTCTCTCTCTCTCTCTCTCTCTCTCTCTCTCTCTCTCGATCTTCTCTTGTTCTTCATCATTTCTACACAAACCAGACTTTAGATCTTTATATTCTATAAAAAACGCTACACGAAATGGTCAAGGAGAACTCCTTGCCTTCTGAAATCTGGTCAAAGCAACCCTTCACGTATTTGGAGTCGTCAAAGTGACTCCTCGGTTCCCATCTGGTCTTGGCGGTATGATGAAGGATGCACACGAGACGATCGGTTTGGCTCGTCAGGTGATCGAATGGGACGGTATGGACAGTTTGATCAGCACGATCTGATGGGAAAACCTGGTCGGTATGGATGACACAGGCAGTCTGACTGGTACGATCTGACATGAAAACCTCAGTTGGATCGATCTGGTCGACAAGATCGCCACCTTAGGCCAGGTGTATGATCCGAGCAGGTCGATGCTGGAACCGGGGCGCATCATTACCCCCCCCCCCTTTCAAAAGAATTTGACCTCAAATCCATTTTTTTACCTGAATCAAAAGAAAATGAATCAGACAAAGAGAATTTTAAAATCATGTAAAATTCAATGAAGGAAAATTTTGGACATAAACTTTCTTGGA